CCCGGTGCCATGAGCACTGAGAGTCGGGCGAGGTAACTGCCGTCGGAACCAATCTGGCAGGCAGGGTGAAGAGGGGTGGGGGAAGGGTGGGGGTGAGGGTTTGGTTGCTTTTGAGGCGCCTCAAGGGAGGGGTGGGGTGGGGGTGAGGGTGAGGGTGTGGTTGGGTCACCAGGCGGGGGCAGCATTGAGGTCGAGAAGGAGGTCGTGACGCACGGCCGGCGCCATGAGCACTGAGAGGCGGCGTAACGGCCGGGCAAGGTAACCACCATCGGAACCAATCTGACAGTATGAGGTGAGGGGAGGGTGGGAGGGGGGGAAGGGGCGTGGGGGGTTTTGTGAAAGGGCACCAGGCGGGTGCAGCGTTGAGGTCAACAAGGAGGTCGTGACGCACTCCCGGTGCCATGAGCACTGAGAGGCGGTGGAGAGGGCGGGCGAGGTAGCCGCCGTCTGAACCAATCTGACAGAGCGGGGAGGGGCGGATGGGGGAAGGGGGACACGAGGCACCAGGCGGGTGCAGCGTTGAGGTCGACAAGGAGGTCGTGACGCACTCCCGGTGCCATGAGCAGGCGATGCAGAGGGCGGGCGAGGTAGCCGCCGTCGGAACCAATCTGGTGGATCACAGAGACAGGGAAGCAGCGTGAGATGGCATTGCACAATATATGGTTGCTGTGATACAGCACGATGGATGACATAACTTTGTTACGACGACGACCTCTCTGTACAGGGGAAAGGAAAGCTCGGGACTGCCCTGCCGCACCGTCGCACCGCACCAGGTGAAGGACAGCACGGGTCCGCCAAGAGGTGAGTAAATATACAGTATAGTAACATCTTGTATTGTGCTCTTCTCCTCGCCCAGAGTAGAGAACGGGACGGTCCACATACCAGGTAGAAGGGCAGCACGGGTCCGCCAAGAGGCGGGTTGAAGTTGTTGTCGCCACGAGCGGCGCATTGGAAGGACAGGTTGTACGTGCGTGCGTTGCCTGCATTCACCATGCGGATCCGGTGCATCGCTCGCCGAACCTTGAGGTACGGCCAAACCTGATGGATTCGATGGAGAACGACATAACAAGGACAAGTAACTCTTGAAGAGAATGAGGGTCAGCCAGAATGAGGGTCAGAATGAGGGTCTAAGATACTTTGTGCGCTGAGGGAAGACAGACATCCTAGAGAGCACAACCACACCGTTCTGAAAACATTCCCAGTTCTATCTGAATAAATAAGAATTTCCTTTCTAATCCTAGAGATATCTAGTTAATGAGATGAGAGCTCACCTTGCCGTTGACAACGATTGTATCCCCTCTAAGACCTGGCGTCCAGTTCGGGTGAACCTTCGGCACAGAGCCCACGTTCGGATAATTCATCGATCCGTTCGGAAAAAACAGCCTGTCAGCAATCACGAGGTGCAATTGGCGTTCGCCACGTGGCAGCCACCTCTTGAGGCGCCTCTCCTCGCCCTGGGGGTCGCGGATAATGTACAGCCCAGCCATTCCCGAGGCCATGTTGGGAGCGGTCATGCCAATCGTGTGGTCGTGGTACCACAGCATCGTTGCGCGCTGCATGTTCGGATATGTGTGCTCCTGGGATTCGAACTCGGGTCCCTGCTCCCCGAAGGCAGTGTACCACGCCAATGGGTGGCCGTCGGATTGGCTTGGTACCTCCGCGCCATGCAGATGAACGGCTGGGATGATTGTTTAGGGCAGGTGGGAGCATGGGAAGTGGGCTGTGGGTTAGAGAACAGGATAAGATAGCCTCATAAAAATGAGCTGATAAGTGGAAAATGGAATGCAGAATGAGTTGTTTGAGAACGGAAAATGGGAAACAGGAAGCTAGTGATAAGTTGGTAATGGGATTATGGGACGCATGTCGTAGCTGGTCGTTTAAAAGGGAGAAGTACTGCTGAATCCCGAACTCACATATCGGCACACCCCCGTTTTTGGGTTTGGGCGCCATGAGAGTCGGATCGATGGTGAACATGTGCTCCTTGTCCTTGATGTTGTTCGAGAACTCCACCTGCGATCGTGTAAAAAAAAATATTTGCGGTAACACGCAGTGTTTACCGGCGCCGTTCAGGAACAAGAGCCGGAAATTCAGTGCTCGAATCAGGTGCGTGCGTGCATCAGCAGTGCAACCGTGAAGCGACTTGCACGACGAGCCAACCGTGGCTGTGTTTTTTGCTCCGAGCACGAGTCGTCCAAGAACGTGCGCTCGTGCTCGTGCTCGTGCTCGTGCTCGTGCTCTTGCGTCAAGTGGAGCAGTGCAAGCAAGCAACCGTGAGGCTAGTGACAGCTCAAGTCGCGCTCACCTTGGTGGTGATGCCGCGTTTCGCGACGAGCACGGGGCCCGGGTAGCGCGCCGAGTCGCGGGAGGCGCCGTACGCATACACCTTGGTGTCGGGCAGGTCGCGATGGAACTTCTGCTCGATTGGGCGGGCAAGGAGGAAGAAAGGGGGGGGGTGGGCGAGAGGGGGGAGGGGTGGCGGGGGGGGGGGAGGGGTGGGGGTGGGGGGGGGGGGGGAGGAGGGGGGGAGGGGGAAAGGGGAAGGAAAGGGGAATAGGGGAGCGGAGTGGAAGTGAGCGAGAGTATTGCATGAGGGAAAGTGGTCTGTTCTGTAACGAGAGTATAGTTTTATCACTGAAAGGACGCAAACGCGCATGCGCATGAAACGCGGGGTGCGCAATGCGCATGATGACGGGGATTCGCAGAATCGTTTTTTGAATTCTAAAAAAGACCCTGAAAGGACGCAAACGCGGGTGCGCAATGCGCATGATGACGGGCATTCGCAGAATTAACACCGCTGGTGCGAGTCGCGCCAATTATTTATCACACGCAATCGTGAATAGCTCGACGCCAATCTGCTTGTTGTACGGGCACCTTGAAAGTAAGCCGTCGCGCTTGCGTGAAACACGTCGCACGACGTCAAGCGGCAGTTGCACTTGCCGCGTGCAGCCCGTCGTACGACGTGAAACGACCGTCAACGGCCGTCAGACTTGCCTGATACCTTCACCAGACCCACCGGTTTAAGAGTTCAGCCGTCGTATCGAACTCGCCTGGTAGACGTCGTACGCGCCGTCACTCAATGTGAGACCTTTGAGACGCGCCGCATGATCATATGAGCCATCACTCAGCAATCGCACGCGCCTGGTGAACGTCGTACGACGTTAGCCCCCTCCGCCCCACTCCCCCCCCCCCCTCCTCCCCTCCCCCTCCCCCCGCCCCCATCCCCCCCACCTTCCCCCCCTCTCCCCCGCTCCCCGCTCCCGTAAGACTCACGTGGTAGACGTCGTACGCGCCGAGTTTGATGGTCTCGCCGGTCGACGCGTCGAGGAAGGTGAGCGGCGACGCGGCGAGGTCGTCGACGAACTTGCACAGCGGCTTCTCCGGAAACCGGTTCACGCACCGCGGACCCGCCATGGGCTGCGCGCGCGCCGACATCACGCTGAGAAGCGCCAAGACGACGGCGCAGAGGCGCGCGGGAGTGGTGGCGCCACACCGGGCAGTGGTATTAGGACGAGTCCCCGCGGGCCGCCCCATCGAGACGTTCTTGGCCGTCGCTGACGCACGGTGTACTCGTCACGTATTGCAATGCGAGTCGCGAGAGTCGCGAGAGTCGTGTCGTGAGGAGCTGGCGATTTGCAGACTAGCGTGTGGTTCCGCGACTCAGGTGGAAAAAGGTTTGCTGCGGGGACTGAGCTGTGCCGACTTGACAGCTGTCTGGTGCAGAACTGGACAATAACACCACTGTCAGCGTCATCCTCAAATGGTTTGACTGTCCAGGCAGAGGGGCGAGGAGGGGGGGCGAGGAGGAGAGGCAAGGAGAGGAAGCGCAGCGCACCCGCCCGCACGAGCGGTACAGTGCACTCGCAGCGGCTTTCCTTTCGCCAGTTGAAGGATAGGGGAGTGCTGGTGGGGCAAAAGCAAGCCTGCAATGGAGCGAGGAATGCTTTTCTTGCTGCCCGAATCCTGGAAAATTGCTGTGGCGAAAATAAAACGAACCGCGATCACGGGATTGAGCAAAACTCTCGGCTATGGGATTAGGTCGTCAAGTCTTCGCTGCTGAACTACGCGTTTGTATTTTAGCGTGCTGTTTCAGGGTCCTGCAAACAGCCAATTATGACATGTTCATAATAATACGTGACTCGGATAAGAATGACTACCCTTAGCAGTAGTCCCTGTTTTAACTATTGTTCTGTTACATATTTTTTCAAATACAGTGAAGATAAAATTTATGGGTTTATTTTCCCTTTTGCGTTCAAAGAAATCACCCCCCATACTTTAGAAGGTGCGAAATCCTTGCTTCTTACTTTTATCTAACTGTATATCATAGCAACCTCAAAATGCGAGGCTGCTTCCAAAATATTCATTTGATTGCCAGCACACATAACTGTGACTCCACGTAGGCCGGGCTACCACACGCCGACGTGGCATTTCCTCGACACAACACTCTGCGATAGTGATCGGACTTGTAAGACTCTAAACAACTCCGATGTTCAGAAACAACTCAGAACAATGCGGCCTCCGATGTTCACCAATCAACTTGTACTAGGCTAGAGGCATGCCTCGTAACTTGTTCGCTTATTAGACGCTTCTTTCACATCACATGCTTGTTTAGTTCTTCCTACTATTTGCGACTCCAATTCGCATTGTCGCCTAATTGCTCAGCCAACAGCAATGCGGAAAGAGCCTCTTCCGCAGCTCCAGGAACGGACGTCTTTTGCCTGACTGTTTAGAATCCTCCTCCACTTCAAAGGGTCGTTCGCGCATTGTGAGCACTGTGCTTTCATCCCCGCTACAGGATGGACGGTTTCCAATACAAGAACCTGTTGGTAAGCCAACAGGGAGCCGTGGTAACCGTTACCATCAATCGCCGGCGAAACCTCAACGCCATTAACAACGCGACATACCTTGAGCTCGCACGCGCTCTAGCCGACGCGGACACCAATGACACAGTATCGATCGTGCTTATAACGGGAGCTGGCGAGTACTTCTGCAGCGGGACCGACATGCTCGAGTTCATGCAGACCGTCGAGAGACTCGAGGCCCTGAAACGATCCCAGGAATCAACAGCAGCCGTCGGATCATCAGAACAACTGGCAGAAAGCTCACCTCCAGCCGTCCGATCCACACCACGAGCCAGCTCCACCGTCGATCTCCCGCCGGATTTCGACCCGTTCGGCAGCCCCGTGGGTCAGTTCATGCGCGGAGTCCTGCGATTCTCCAAGATCTTAGTCGCAGCCGTCAACGGGCCCGCCATAGGGATTGGCGTGACGCTCCTCCCGCACTGCGACCTCGTCTTCGCCGCGGATTCCGCGACGTTCTGGGTGCCGTTTCTCCGCATCGCGCTCGTCCCCGAGTTCGGTTCCTCCGTCACTCTCGTGCAGCTGCTCGGTCAACCCCTGGCGAACGATCTGCTGCTGACGTCACGGGTTCTCTCTGCGGACGAGGCGTGCAGAAACGGTCTTGTTTCGAGAGTGTTCCCGGATGGGACCCTTCAGAGTGGTGAGATAATTCCGAGGGATGGTGCACGCTTCAGCTCATAACAATGTGATTTTTGAGACGTCTAAAGAGTCTTCCCGGATGCGACCCTTCAGAGGGGTAAGATTGTTCTAGACGGATGGCACACGCTTCAGCTCATGACAGTGTGTCTCAAGAAATGCTCTTTTTGAACCAAACGTGGAAATCCAAAATTTGGGGGGGTTGTTTCTGAAGTTTGCTTAATTCTGATAACGTCTCTCCCTTCCCCCCCCCCCCGCCTCTCTCCACCGCACTACCCCTTTTGTATTTCTTCTTCTCCCTGTCCCTCCGTTCTGTTGCCTGTGCCCGTGCTCTCCTTACACGCCTTCTTGCAGAAGTGCTGGCGATTCTCTCCGACACCCTAGCAACAGGCTCTCTTCCAAGCGCCCCTCCCGATCTTCAAGCGCATGCTGCGCCAGCCATCGATATGGACTCAATCGACTCAGCGAACTGCCTCCTCTCTGTTGTCTGTGCCCGTGCTCCTCTTTCTTACTCGCCCTCTTGCAGAAGTGCTGGCGATACTCTCCGACATCCAGCAGCAGGCTCTCGTCCAGCAGTCCCTCCCCATCTTCAAGCGCATGCTGCGCCAGCCGCTGGGTGACTCAGAGCCACGTCAGCCTGACATGGAGGCGGTGGTGGCGGAGGAGCTGAGGCAGCTGGCTAGGAGACAGATGGCGGGGGAGACAGGGTATGCCGTGAGGGAGACAATGAAAGCAATGCGTGCTGCCAAAGGGAATGGCAAGGCGGCTGGGTCTCGAAGCAAACTGTAGGCAGGTGGCTCGGAGACAGATGGCGGGAGAGACGGGGTATGCTGTGAGGCTGCTAAGGGGAATGGCAAGGCAGGTGGATCTTGAAGCAAACTATACAAGTGTGGGGACAGATGCAGATGGCGAGAGCGACAGGGTATGTCGTGAGGAAGACCGTGAAAGCCATGCGTGCTGCCAAGCAGGGATGCAAAGCTGTGATTGAACCTGGGTCCCGAAGCAAACTGTAGGCAGATGGTGGGAGAGACAGGGTATGCTGTGAGGGAGACCACGAAGGCCATGTGAGCTGCCAAGGGAAATAGCAAAGCCGGAAGCGGTGGGGCAGTAGGGTCTCGTAGCAAATTGTAGGGGTGTGGGGACAGAAGGAGATGGCGGGGGAGACAGGGTATGCTGTGAGGGTTGTCGCGAATGCTATGCGAGCTGCTAAGGGGGATAGCAAAGCTGGGAATGGTGGGGGAGCAAGCAATCGAAGCAGACTGTGTGGGTGTGGGGACGGATGGAGATTGTGGGAGAGACAGGGTATGCATGGGGGGTAGAGGGAGAGGGAGAGGGAGAGGGGAGGCTCGACGCTGCTTGTCGGGGTTTGAGTCGGAGGCAGAAAACGGGAGAGACAGGGAACGCTGCAAGGATGATCAGGAAGGCCATGTGAGCTGCCAAGAACTGGGGATGATGAGAGACTCGTGCACCTCAAAGCCAACTGTAGGGAGTAATGCAGAGGGGCTATGCTGGGGATGTGTGGTACAGGATATGCTGTATTATTGATTTTGAAGGCAACAGAAGCTGCCAAAGGGGATACGGTAACTATGCTGGGAACGTTGTTAGGGCGGCCTCTAGAACCATCACATGGGATGGGGGTGAAGCTGGTAGTAGAGACAGTATATACCGTAAGGCTGGCTGTGAAGGTCATGCGGGCACAACCATCCAATACTTTCTTAGTACGGTTCTACATCAACAGAGAGGAAGAATAGTTTTGCCAAATGACTTGGACACAAGTGAGCGATAACGAAGTGACATTGCATGGGCACACACACACATTCTCAAAAGAGACAGACATGCATTGCAACTGGGATAAGCATTTTTACAGAGTAGGGTTGGGCACCATGCGTACACTAAAGGGAACCCTAAAAGGCAGGTCACGACAAACCTAAAGCAGAGCACAGTACCACTGCCGGCTAATGTAGCTTCCAAATCGCCTCCCTTGCGCTGCCCTCCTTGTCCCTTCCGCTCACGCACTTGCATGGTTGATCGAAATGCGCCGCCGTCGTCGCAGTGAAATGAAAGTTGTGGCGCCGCCTTCCCCTCATGGGTACAGTATCATCCCCTAATTCCACCCCCCTCCCCCTCCCTCCTTTACTGTACAGACAGAACAGTTCTGTATATACTGTATGCCCCATGATAAAGGCCCTTGTGTGGGGTCACCCCAGTGGGATGTGAGTGACCAGCAGGGCTCTCGATTCATTTTAGGGCACGCTAGCAGGACTCCCCTTCCCCCCCCTCCCTAGACGAGCAGTTTGGGAATCAGGATGCTCAGCAGCAGTAGGAAACGGGTGGTGGTAGCGCCAGAAGAGAGGTCCTAACGCTGTAGATCCACCCACATCGCATCGCATCTCATCATCTCCTCCGAGATGACATCCCTTCCCTATCCCCCCCGATAGCCTCTTCGGCGGCGGGCACCATGCTCACAATCTCCCCCCCTCACCCGCGCCGAGCCGCGACGGCGCAGCATCCTAGGCCGTCCTCCGCCCCAGCTTCTCAGCAGCACAGCCAATGCCGTCAGATGATCCCCCCAAAAACACCGCTAGTAGCACCAGGCGCAAGTCCGCCCCCTCTCGCGTTTTCCTCCCATTCCAGCTTCCTTCTCCTCCCTCCCATGTCAGCTCCCTCCGAGGGTCGCGTTCGAGTCGTCGCCGTCGCGCATGCGAGCGAGCGTACAATGTCACGGTATATAAGAATGGCCAGCCGTTCCTTGTCACTCATCCGTCCCGTGTTCCGTTTCTTCTCTTCCATTCCGGGTATCCAGTCGGTTTGCCTTGGGGCTTGTGGGCTGGCAGTACGAGTAGCGTACATCTCTCTGACGGCAGCAGCAGGAGCGAGCTGCGATTAATATTAATACTAATCGACGCCTCCGTCCAATCTCCGCTCTCTCGTGACGGAGCACCGCAGGGGTGAACCGAACCGCCGAAATGCGTCCCACCACGCTCGCGCGCCTCTGCGCCGTCGTCTTGGCGCTTCTCAGCGTCGGCCTCAGCGGCACGAATGACAGAGACGCGGCCAATTCGGCGCGGATGCCGGCGGTGCTGATGGCCCGCGCGCAGCCCCTGGCGGGGCCGCGGTGCGTGAACCGGTTTCCGGAGAAGCCGCTGTGCAAGTTCGTCGACGACCTCGCCGCGTCGCCGCTCACCTTCCTCGACGCGTCGACCGGCGAGACCATCAAACTCGGCGCGTATGACGTCTACCAGGCGAGTGCCATTGCTGGCTGATGCTCAAAAGCGCCGTGGTGCCTCCAAGTATCACATTGATACCTGGCGCATACGACGTTTACCAGGCGAGTGGGACGGCTTCGTTGCATGGTGTCTGTGCAACAAGCAGCGACTCATAATTCGCGCCGCTAAGAGCGCCTGCGCCGATCGCCATTCTACAAATGCCCGTGCGGCGCGTTCGCGTTTGCGTCATTTCAGCCGCCGTTGCCACATCAACTTACTGAATAAGTCTCTACTCACGAAAACCCATATTCCACCATCAACCCACTCCCTCGCTCACACGCTCCCCCTCTCCCCTCCCTCTCCCGTCCTTCCTTCCCCTCCCCCTCCCCCCCCCCCCCCCCCCCCCCCCCCCGCGCAACGCGCAGAAGTTCCACCGCGACCTGCCCGACACCAAGGTGTATGCGTACGGCGTCTCCCGCGACTCTGCGCGCTACCCGGGCCCCGTGCTCGTCGCGAAACGCGGCATTACCACCAAGGTGAGCGCACGACACCTTCGACAGTGGTCGTCTGCTCTGCACCTTGGTGGAGGAATCAGCTTTCGTGAGAGCCATCCATCCAAAGTGTCCCTTGCGCTTCTCTTATTATATGATGTCAGCTCTTCGTGTTGTCGCTAGCTATCTTCCTTTACCACAGCCTGTTCGTGCGATTCCGCGATTCACGTTGAGCTCTCTGATTCGCTCTTGTTCAACATGTTCACGACCGCAGGTGAAGTTCGCGAATCACATAAAGGACAAGACGCACATGTTCACAATTGACCCGACGCTTATGACGCCTAAACTCAAGAACGGCGGCGTGCCAATCAGTAAGTCAGGACCGCGGTAGTGTTAATTAGCAACGATCCAACCCGTCTCCGTTGTCAGCGTCTTATTGCTGGTGAATCTAATTTCATTCCTCGCATTTGACTCACTTCGAAGCGTTTCAGTGCGGTAAATCGCATTCCCGTACGGCAGAGAGTGGTGACCTTTCAGTTCACCTTTTCCTGAAACTCCTCCTTGTTACCACTTCCGTTCACATTGATGTCATCGCAGCCGTCCATAAGCATGGCGGGGAGACTTCAAGCAAATCCGACGGCCATCCCATGGCATGGTACACTGCCTTCGGGGAGCAGGGACCCGAGTTCGACTCCCAGGAGCACAAATATCCGAACATGCAGCGCCCGACGATGCTGTGGTATCACGACCACACGATGGGAATCACCGCGCTGAACATGGTCGCAGGAATGGCTGGGCTGTACATTATTCGCGATCCGCAGGGCGAGGAGAGGCGCCTCAAGAAGTGGCTGCCCCGTGGCGAGCGTCAACTGCACCTCGTGATTGCTGACAGGATGTTTTTCCCGAACGGGTCGATCAATTACCCGAACCAGGGCTTTGTGCTATGTACACCCAAACTGGATACCCGGTTACGTTGGCAATACAAATGTTGTAAACGGCAAGGTGAGACAAAGTTTTAGTTTTGGTTTTCGTGTGCTTTTTTCACCAATGCATGCCTGTGCTTGATCAAAGCATTGTGATATTGTAATTCGACTCCCCCACCATCTCTGACTAATCACGTTGTGCCATTCCCTTCCTCTACCACTTTCCCTCAGGTCTGGCCGTTCCTTAATGTTCGGCGAGCGATGCACCGGATTCGCATGCTGAGTGCGGCCAACGCGCGCACGTACAACCTCACCTTCCAGTGTGCTGGCCGCGGTGACCACAACTTCAACCCGCCTCTTGCTGGACCCGTGCTGCCCTTCTACCTGGTGAGAAGAGAACAAGGTTCCTAGCTGTTTTTTACGTTGACGTCATAACAAGTATCTTCCCTACCTACATATTCACCTGCAACAATGATATCATACAATGCCGCCTAAATGGTTCACCCTTTCTCCGTTCTCCCACTTCCTGAAACCCCTTATTCCCGCCTCCTCTTTACCCCTTCTCATTCCTCCTCTTGCCAGATTGGTTCCGACGGAGGCTATCTCTCCCGTCCGCTGCGCCGCTCCTTCTTGCTCGTCGTCCCGGGCACGCGTCACGACCTTCTTCTTGACTTCAACACTGCACCCGGATGGTGCCGTGACGTCATCATTGTCAACAGCGCAGCCATTCCCTTCCCCGTGGGAGGGCCTGCTGACTGGTTCACGGGCGTGGTCATGCGATTCATCATCAACCAGCGCTCCCCTGTCAAGCCCCCGGCCCTACCCAAGAGCCTCTCAGTGAGTGCCTCTCTTGCTGTTTACGTCTGCGGACCAGTCCCCCCGTCCCCACAAGCAGCCCGCTGACTCATTCACGGGCGTGGTCATGCAATTCATCATCAACCAGCGCTCCCCTGTCACGCCCCCTGCTCTGCCCAACAAGCTTTCGGTGAGTGACTTTTCTCTGTCTGCCGCCCAGTCTGACATGTCTGCTGCCCAGTCTGGCATGTCTGCCGCCCAGTCTGGCATGCCTGGAATGCATAAGGCGTCACAATCTTCTTGCCTCCCTTCCCCATTTGAAACCCCTCCCTGCTTGCTTGCGGTACATACCCTAGTGGACTTAAACAGGCAGAAAAGCAGCATTTCCTCACCACCATCTTTCTCACTCACTCGCTCAAACGCTCACTCTCTCACTCACTCTCTCCCTTCTGTGCTCACCCATTCACTGCTGCCTCCCGCTCTGCAGTACATCCCTCCAGTGAACCTCACCCAGGCAGTGAAGCAGCGCTGGCTCGCCATCTCCTTTATCATCGACCCCGTCTCACAGAAACCGAGCGCCATGCTGCTGGATGGCAAGACCTACATGGATCCAGCCACCGAGAAACCCAAAGTGGTGAGCATATAACACCAGAACACATCCTTGTGGTTTTTTTTTTTTTTTTTTCAAGCATCTTTCTGCCAACTCTCGTTTCCTTCCGTAGCGCACCTATTTTGCATTCCTTGCCTTTCAACTGCCTTTTTTTTTCCAGGGCACTTCGGAGCTTTGGCACATCATCAACCCGACCTTCGAGACGCACCCCATGCACCTGCACCTCGTGCAGCATCGCCCCATCTCCCGCCGTCCGATCAACTCTGGCGGGCTAATCAACGGCTCCTGTTCGCTCGCTCCCTCCTCCCCTTTCAAGCCCAGCTGCTTCACTGGGCCGGCCCGGGCCGTGCCGCAGCATGAGAGGGGATGGAAGGACACCACTGTTGCGTGGCCGGATAGCGTTCTCACTATCTTCGTGCCGTTCAAGGGGCAGGTGAGATGCGGTGCAGTGGGGTTGAGAGGAAGGTGGTAGGGTGGAGGGCACCACTGTTGCATTCCCAGGTATCATATTTGTACCATTCAAGTGTTAGGAGGACATGGCCTGGTGTTACAAAATACAGTAATACCTTCCTGTATAGTTTGGGGGTTGAACAGGTTGAGGCGTGTAGAGGGGGATGGGGAGGAAGGAAGGACAACACTACTGTTGATATTACCAACATCCTTTTTTCCAGCGCTTTCAACTCGACCATTCAATGGAACACTCCTCTCCTCACACACCCTCACACCCCTCTTCACTTATCCCCTTCCTCTTTTCATTCGTGACGGCAATGCCAACCCTCTGTTTTCCTTCTCTGGATCATCTCGCATGTCCCCATGTGCAGAATGGCAAGCCGTTCCCTTTTGACGCCACGGAGGGCCCGGGCTACGTGTGGCACTGCCACGCACTGGAGCACGAGGACAACGACATGATGAGGCCACTCGTTATGACCGCGTAGCCCTATGCGTGGGATTCCCGTGCTTTGGATTCATCCCTGTGCGTGGCACTGCCACGCGCTGGAGCACGAGGACAACGACATGATGAGGCCGCTCATCATGACCGCTTAGGGTTACCTACCACATGCGGCTCTGCCGTTTTTCACTCAAAACAATTTTCAAGCATTGGAGGCAAAGGCCTTGCGAGGCTTCTGATTTTGTCATGAAGTGGGTGTTGTTGACTACAGTCACACGTACTGCAATTTTGTTTCTGTTGAAATGAAACCCTTTCTAGTTTTTGGCTTTTGCTCCCTAGGAATGAGGCTCAATGCGTTGTAGAGGTATCTGTTTGTTCTCTTTCATGGGAGCTTGTGAAGTATAGCTTGGTAATAAAGCTATTGAGGTTCAATTCTCTTTTGGCCACTTTTAGTATAATGTTACACTGATTCTGTACTGACAGAGTTCTGCGCTAGTTCTTTACCAACTCTGATTTTCCAGCGTTTTTTTCCTAATTAACACTGATTGTCAGCGTTTTTTTATGTACCAAGGCTGATGGATCAACCTTGTCCAAAACGAATCTAGGGGCCTGCGTTAAAATGAGCGGCCTCATCATGTCGTTGTCCACATGCTCCACTGCATGGCAGTGCCACACGTAGCCCGGGCCCTCCGTGGCATCAAAAGGGAACGGCTTGCCATCCTGCACATTTAGACAAGGAAAACAGAGGCTTGGCATTGCCAGCACGGTTGAGAAGAGGAATGGGACTGGTGAAGAGAGGTACGAGAGAGAGTGTAGTGAGGAGTGGTCAGGTGAAGGGGCGAGTTGAAGGCGCTGGAAAAAATAGACAGTAGTGTCCCTTCCTTTTTCCCCAACCCCCCTCTACACCACGTCATCTGTTTCAACGCTAACCAAACAGGAACTTACCTAAACACCAGCGTATACAGCTCACCTTACCCTTGAACGGCACAAAGATGGTGAGAACGCTGTCAGGGAACGCAACAGTGGTGTCCTTCCACCCCCTCTCATGCTGCGAACGCTAACTGGGAATGCAACAATGGTGTCCTTCCACCCTACCACCTCCCTCCCCACCACACTGCACCGCATCTCACCTGCCCCTTGAACGGCACAAAGATGGTGAGAACGCTATCCGGCCATGCAACAGTGGTGTCCTTCCACCCCCTCTCATGCTGCGGCACGGCCCGGGCCGGCCCCGTGAAGCAGCTGGGCTTGGAGGAGGCGGAGGCGGAGGGTGGGAGAGAACAGGAGCCGTTGAGATACGCGGTGGAGTTGAACGGCCGTCGGGAGATGGGGCGGTGCTGAATGAGGTGCAGGTGGATGGGGTGTGCCTCGAAGCTCGGGTTGACGATGTGCCAAAGCTCCGAAGTGCCCTGGGAAAAAAAGTGTACCATATTTGAAAGGCATGGAGCGATAAAAAGCACACCACAAGCAAAGGTATTCAACCAACTCTTCTGAAGGAGGGGAAGGAAAGGAGAGTTAGCAGATTTTGTTAGCTCACTTGCACTAAACACCGAGAGATACTAAAAATATGTATGTAAGTAAGTAATACTAAAACAAGGGGTGTACTTGAGTGTTCTGTGCTCACCACTTTGGGTTTCTCGGTGGCAGGATCCATGTAGGTCTTGCCGTCCAGCAGCATGGCGCTCGGTTCATGCAACTCCTTGTCGATCACAAACACTACGGCGAGAAAACGCTGCCTCACTGCCTGGGAGAGGTCCACCGGGGGGATGTGCTGCATGGGAGGGAGAGCTTGTTGGGCAGGGCGGGGGGCTTGATTGGAGAGCGCTGGTTGATGATGAATCGCATGACCACGCCCGTGAACCAGTCAGCAGGGTGGCCCGTGGGGAAGGGGGGAAACTGCCTGGCAGGGGAGACAGAAACAAGAGTCACACTCACCGATAGCGTCTCGGGCAGGGGAGGGGGCTTCACAGGCGGCTCCTGGTTGATAATGAATCGCATGACCACGCCCGTGAACCAGTCAGCAGGCTGTCCCCTGGGGAAGGGAATGTTGGCGCTGTTGACAAGGATGACGTCACGGCACCAGGCGGGTGCAGCGTTGAAGTCGAGAAGAAGGTCGTGACGCGTGGCCGGGAAGACGAGCAGGGAGGAGCGGCGCAGAGGGCGGGCGAGATAGCCACCGTCAGAGCCAATCTGGTTTGTGTTATGGGGAAGGGAAGCAGGGACAGGGTGAAGAGGGGTGCAGGTAAGGCATTATCCGAACTCCGCGTTGAAGTTGAGTAGGAGATCGTGACGCGTGCCCAGGACAACGAGCAGGAAGGAGCGGCACAGAGGGTGGGCGAGGTAACCACCGTCAGAACCAATCTGGCAGGGCAATTGTGCAACGGTAGGGAGGAGAGGGGAATGTTTTGAGACGTCTCAAAGCACTTTTATTATCGCGAGGTAACCACCGTCAGAACCAATCTGGCAAGATGACTGTGCAACGGTAGGGAGGAGAGGGGAATAAGGGGTGTCGGGAAGTGAGAGACAGGAGAAAGGGTGTGAACCATTTGAGTGGCATTGAATGATATCATTGTTTCAAGTGCATCTGTAGGGTAATTACCCGTTGGGTAGGACGTCAACATCGAAAGCAGCTAGGAACATTGTTCTATCCTCACCAGGTGGAAGGGCCGCACGAGTCTGGCAGGATGTGATCGCAAGGAACATTATCGAGCGCAAGTGTATCAGAGTTAGCTAGGAGCCTTGTTCAATTCTCACCAGGTAGAAGGGCAGCAGGGGTCCAGCAAGAGGGGGATTGAAATTGGAGTCGCCGCGCGCAGCGCACTGGAAGGTGGTTGGAAAGAACAACAAAAGAAATCATCTCTTTGTCTCACCTTGCTGTTTACGACATTTGCGTTGCCAATATAACCGGGTATCCAGTTCGGGTGCACGTTCGGCACGAGGCCCTGGTTTGGATAATTCATCGACCCGTTGGGAAAAAAGGTCCTGTCAGCAATCACGAGGTGCAATTGCCGCTCGCCGCGTGGCAGCCACTTCTTTAGCCGCCTCTCCTCGCCCTGCGGGTCGCGGATAATGTACAGCCCAGCCATTCCCGCGAGCAAGTTCAGCGCAGCCATGCCAATCGTGTGGTCGTGGTACCACAGCATCGTCGCGCGCTGCATGTTCGGATATGTGTGCTCCTGGGATTCGAACTCGGGTCCCTGCTCCCCACTGGCAGTGTACCATGCCATAGGATGGCCGTCGGATCGGCTTGGCGTCTCCCCGCCATGCCTATGGACGGCTGCGATGAGAGCATAGTGAACGAAGGTGGTAACAAGGCGGAGTTTCAGGAAGAATTGATTAGAAACGCCGGAGACGCTTTTTTGGCGTCTCCCCGCCATGCCTATGGACGGCTGTGATGAGAGCAAAGTGATTGGGCTGTTTGTGAGAACGAGGCGGACCGAAGGGGAACGCTGGAGACGAGACGCGATCAGAATGTTTTCTGAACTTGATGATAACAATCTGTGCCGCACTGGAAGCTTAATCCACCGCACTGAAACGCCTCAAGTCAATGAAAAGTGTGGAATGAAGTATACTACCAGCAAAGCAGACCCTCACGATAGAAAGGGGTTGCAAAAGGGGTTGCTATAACCATACCGTGGTTATTTCTGACTTACTGATGGGCACACCGCCGTTGGTGAGTTCGGGCACCCTAAGTGTGGGGTCGACCGTGAACATGTGTGTCTTGTCCCTGATGTGATTCGAGAACTTCACCTGCCATCGTGAACAACATGTGAAACAAAGGTCTGTTTTGAGTCGACTCAAAACATAAGAGTGGGGTCGACCGTGAACAGGTGCTTCTTGTCTCTGATGCGGTTCGAGTACTTCACCTGCCATTGTGAACATGATGTAGAGCAAGTGAGGAATCTAATGAGCTTAGCTTAGAGTGAATCGGGGAAATCGCTGAAGAGAACAGGCTGAGATCAATAAGGGAGAAAGGGTTGATGTGATTGGTGGTAAGTAGCTGCATCCTACCGTAGTCAGTGGAACGTTAAGCTAGCTAGCAACAACACCGTATATCAGCACATCGAGACAACCATCAGCGCTTACATAAAAAATAATGATTCTTTGGAAGCAGATGAGACTCTTTGGAAGCTCTCAAATAGAATGATGCTTCTGCCTAGGTGTAGAAAAGCAGCATCGATGACAGGAACTGTAGACTGCAATGTCTTGATTGGCGCAAACCACTGCGCCCGACTGAGACTGACAGCGGCTGACCGGGTCAGCTCATTGGTATTACCGCGCCTGCAAACGTTATTCTTGGTCGACTCAAAAGCAACCGTTGTGAGTGACGCAATCCACTGCGGGCAGCTGACTCGCGGCTGACGGGGTCGGCTGGCGGGGTCGGTTCACCTTGGTGGTAACGCCGCGGCGCCGCGCATGGCGGTGTTCTTTGAGTCGACTCGAAAGCGACTGTGAAGCTACTGCGGATGAAAAGTACCAGCGCAGAGGCAGCGCGGCTCACCTTGGTGGTGGTGCCGCTGCTGCCGTGCTCACCTTGCTGGTGCTTACCTTGCTGGTGCTCACCTTGCTGGCGCTCGTGCTGCCGCGCTCGCCTTGGTGGTGCTGCCGCGCTCACCTTGGTGGTGGTGCCGCGTGTGGCGACGAGCACGGGGCCTGGGTAGCGCGCCGAGCTGCGGGAGACGCCATACGCATACACCTTGGTGTCGGGCAGGTCGCGATGGAACTTCTGCTCGCATTGGGCATGTGGGGGGGGGGCGGGATGGGTTGGGGAGAGGGAAGAATCGAAAGAGGAGGGGACCGTGTGAGCTGCGGGAGGCGCCGTACGCATACACCTTGGTGTTGGGCAGGTCACGGTGGAACTTCTGCTCGTTGGGAGGGGGAACGGGGGGGTTGGGGGAGTTTGGGGGGGGGGGGGGGGGGGGGGGGGTGGGGGGGGTGTGAGAGGCGGAAGGCGGGAGGGCGGATTGGTGTCGGTGGAACTTCTGCGCGTTGCGGGCCGGGGGGAGGCAGAACAGCATCGGTAAAAAGTTTGCTCCCAAAAGCATCCTGAAACCATCTCGCCAGAGACTTTCCAACTATCGACAAAATTTCCAACTATCCCAGATGAGTCTTTCGGGAACTCTGCCTGCGGTGACAGATCAAAGAGTCTTTGGCACCAGCCCGAAAGACGGGCGGGCCAGGGGGGTTGGGGAGGCTGAGGGCGGGAGGAGGGGATTGGTGTCGGGCAGGTCACGGTGAAACTTCTGCAGATGGAAAATGGGGGGACGGGGGAAGGGGGGGCATTTGAGCGAGGGGGCGAGGTGACGGCGAAAACTTGGTTTCCAAAAATATGCAGAACCATTATTGTAACACTGGTGCCACAGCATGTTTTCACAAACACCTCGATTTTCGTTGCTTGAATGACTGGCATCTGAGTTGTGAGAACCGCAGGCGTCAGACGGCCGTCGGACATGCCTGGTACCTTCCAGGCGCCCACCAATTCCTGTTTAAAACCGGAGTCACAAGTTCCCCTAAGTTGCCTCATCCTTCCTACCTTTGGTTGGGTCACCAGTTCCAACCAACCTTCCTACCTGAAACCTGTGGAGCTCGGATTTCAACCGTCGCACTCGCCGGGTACACGTCGTACGACGTCAAATTCCAGTCAGACTCGCCTGGTAGACCTCGTACGCGCCATTTCTCAATGTGATACCTTGGAGGCACCACAACGCGGCTGAGCCATGAGACAGCAATGGCACTCGCCTGGAAGACGTCGTAGGCGCCGAGTTTGATGGTCTCGCCGGCCGACGCGTCGAGGAAGGTGAGCGGCGACGCGGCGAGGTCGTCGACGAACTTGCACAGCGGCTTCTCCGGAAACCGGTTCACGCACCGCGGACCCGCCATGGGCTGCGCGCGCGCCGTCATCACCGCCGGCATCCGCGCCGAAATCCCCTGGTCGCAACCATTTATAGTGCCTCCGCGGCCGACGCTGAGAAGCGTCAAGACGACCGCGCAGAGGCGCGCGAGCGTGGTGGGACGCATCTTGGCGGTCCGAGCCACCGCGACGCGGCCTGCAATGGGCGCCGTGCCGGGGTGCAAATGCCACGCGCGCGTCGCGGTGAGAGTTGAAATTGATGAGCCGCGCCGCGATGCTCGATTAGTAATACTAATCGCTGCACGTTCAAGCTGCAGCCACCAGAGAGATGGCTCGTACGTACTTGACTGCCAGCCCAATACGCCCAGACCAGCTCGGCTCGGTCAACGGTATGGAAGAGCCTCTTCTCACAAGGAATGGAAAAGCGGAGCGGCGAGTGGGACGGAACGAGACGAGTGGTTTGGTGGTCACGCTCCACGATCTCATGTGCGTCACTTTTCGGATGCGGAAAGCAAGAAGCTTCCCTTCATGGTCAAAAACAACTTGGGGCAATGTTACGTGATAAAACAGCATGATTAAATTAATACTCATTTTGAATAAAACAAAGTCAGCCTGCCAGATAAGCGCAAAGTTACATAGTAGATGGTCGAGATTAGAAGCAGGGTGTACAGGTGATGCCCACCCCATGCACGCGAATTTGCTCTGCACCGGATGGAAACGCTGCACCCGAGGTTTTTTCCCCAGCCTGTTGCACCCACGGTACAAGCGCGTCGCGTAGTTATGAACCAATTGTAACGAACAGATCGAAGTCAAACTGAAGAGACTGAAGTCAAAATGTCAACGGATAAGGTTACAGATCCTTTTATAATCACCTGCGAATCCTTTTTAGCTAGCTGCGAATTGACGAAACTTATGCGAAATACACGATACAGCTTATACGCCCCCTTCACAAGGCAACCGGGAGGGGCTCAATCAGGCATCATGTGTACGCGACGCTCGAGTGTACATAAGGCACCCGTCACCGTCAGGTCAGGTGTCTGGACTGGAGATATCTCGACTGCTCCCAAAATCTGGGAGTGAATGAGAAAATGCCTTTTTGGACCAATCCGGTTCTGTGTATTGCACATGCAAAAAAACAATGCGCCAGTATCACCTGCATTCAATATTTGCCACTGCGGGAATTGTCGGCAACTAGAGAAACCAAAGCAATCTCTACCAATCTAAATTCACAGAAAACAATGTGCTCTACTCAACCAGAACCGCACTTACCGTATCATCAACCTACAGTATCCACAATGGTCTTGCCAACTTTGCAGTTCCTTACATAGCCTTGACTTTCCTGACCACCATGCAATCTGAGGGGCCTTAAAATTGCTGTACTTAATCCGCTAAAGCCAAATTGTGCAGATGCCAGGTTACCATAAGAGATTACGGTATGCTGTTGAAGCAAGCAGCTACACACGGACCATCCCACGCATGTCTTAGCATAGCACATCCTTCTTACGGTATCAGTTGGCCCCACAACTGATGGTACAACGAAACCTGTAAACCACAAGCCAAAAAGAAGAAGGTAAACAACGAATGACCCCAGCGTGCAAAAGGCAAGTGAAAGGGGACAGGAGGATTAAGGTCGGAGTATAGGGCACGAATGGCATACGGCGGGAGAGGGGAGGCGGGGAAACGGGTAACGGGGCGTGGAGGGGGAGAGAGGATGACGGCAGCATGCAGAGGCCAAGAGGATACAAAACGAGGCAATAGGAGAATACACAAGAAGGCAGTTTAGGAGCATGAAGAAGCGAAATAAACATTTATGGCAACAGATGATCAGCTGCACATCTGGAATAAGGCGAACACTTTGATATGCCGGACCTGAAGAGCGTGGAGGAGACGTTTCAAGCCCATGTTGCTTGAGACGATAGGATAATCCCAACGATGACCCCGAACAGCCCAAGCGCACTACCGAAGATCTCAATAACGAGGATCTTCACGAATAACGTCGAGTTCTGCGCATCCGACAAAGCACAGCTGCTGCCGATAATGCCCACACACAACCTGCACACGCCGACCTCGTGAAACATTATGAGCAGACCATTCCATCCCAAATGACCAGGGGTGGGGAAGCAAGTCGAATGCGTTCGTGCTGGTAGGTTATATTTTGTGGTTGACCATTTAGGTTGCAGAGTCTGGAAACAGGGACTTACCCACAAAAAAGGTTCGCGAGACCCACGATGATGCCGGAGTTGAAGATGGCGTAACCAGAGCGGAGCGCTTCAGGCGAGTGCAATCTCGCCTTGCTGACGGATTCCAACTTCGTTTGCAGAATGATGGCGACAATAACGCCGTAAATCGCCACGGCCTCACAGAAAATAACGCTGACGGGAGGCGAAGGACGAAGACCAATGAAACATGTAAGGAAACGGATTGCGAAAGGCGTGGAGCATAACCCTAAAATGAGAGGCGGACGAGACAGGAGATCCTAACACCTACCTGATAAGGTTCTTAGACGTGATCCGAGGAGCTTTAATGGCAGCGCCTATTAGACTACTTCCTGTAATCAAGATTCCCCTGCAAACAGCCATTCGAAATGAAATAAGATATCTGACTGGCTGTGCGGCTGCGAAACGAGCGCCGCAGATCCAAAGCGGTAGCCTTGCCTACCATGCTGCACCCAGGACGGAAACGCCAATAGAAATGGCGATACCAATGGCGGCGTACGCATACGGTGAGATCTGCCAAAACGCCTGCTGGAAGTTCTCCCAATAAGTCTCGTACGACATCGTGACTAACTCGAGCTACGCTCCAACAACGAGGGTCGAAAAACGCTCACTAAGAAACTGCAGTTTCCGTACTGCCGCGACCGTTTTACTGCCTAACGAGATCGTGGAATGGTGCCAGACAGCCGTGCAACGCCCAGCAATCCCGTGAAATGGGGATTATTCCTTGTACGTACTTGCTTCAGATAACAATACAATCCTCAAGCGTACGTTCCGCTGTGTGCCTGAAACTGAAATTGGTCATCCCAAGGTGAGCCAGAACAGGGGAGGGAGGTCGGGGATGAGCGGGATTGAGAAGGGTTGAGCAGGGGTGAGCAGAGATGGGCAGGGGTGGGCAGTGGACACCAAGGTGCAGGAAGATGGCTGAGGTCAGCAGTGAGGGACCAGGGCTGGGGTGAGGACAAGCGAGGGTGTTTGTGCTGCGAGCGGACTGGACGCGCGAAGTGCTGCGACTGGTAACTCTTCGGGAATGGGGATGATCAGCAGAGAGGCGAAGGTGTGATGGCGCACGCAGCTGCGACTTCACGTGAATGTGGGACGTTACAGACAAGCCCTAGTCCCCTATCATAAAAGTTCACAGCTATGCCCCGGAGAATAATTGAATAAGCCACGAAAGTTGCTTGGATCATTTGTCTCAGTAGTATCATTATTGCGTATGTTTAAAAGGAACAGTGTCACAAATAACCCTTATTAGCTACTGCTTCTTCAATCTTTCTCGCCACTTCGTCCACAGAAAGGACTCCCAGCTCGGCACCCTTCCTCGTACGCACATTGAGACTCCGAGACTCCACCTCCCGGGGGCCAACCACAGCCATCACCGGAATCTTCTGAGTCTCCGCATTGCGAATCAGCTTGCCCAGCCTCTCGCCACTCGCCACCTCAGCACGAATGCCCCGTTCCAATAAGGTGGCCACCACTTCCTTGCAGAAGGGCACCTGAAAAGACATTGAAAACAAACAGGGAACAGTAAGACTAGAAGAGTGAGGAGACTAAGCACAGCAGAGCAGAAAGGCGACAATAGCGTCAATGGCTTCGACAAAGAAGGAAAGGGGGGGGGGGGAAGGGAGGGGGGTGGGAGGTGGGGGGGGGGGGGAAGGGTGGGGGGACATAAACGCGTAACAAAGTGCAATCAAAACAGATACGGAAATGAAGTTACGGACCTCGGAGTCTGTGACTGGCAGCAAGCGCAGCTGAGTGGGCGCAAACCAGAGGGGGAAGTCGCCCGCGTAGTTCTCAATGAGGATGCCAAAGAACCGCTCCAAAGACCCAAAGATGGCGCGGTGAATCATGATGGGCGGGCGGCGAGTGCCGTCCGCATCCACATAGACCATGTTGAACCGGTGTGGCAGGTTGAAGTCCACCTGGCAGAAGGTTATTGGAGGAAGGGAGTCACACAGTTCTTGTTTTTTATTCAATGGTGTAAAGTTCTTGTTTTTTGTTCAATGGTGTAAATAAAAGCGGAGACGTGAAGACATGGAAGCGTGAATCAAAGCTCACCTGAATGGTGGAGCACTGCCACTTCCTGCCAATGGCATCCATGATCTTCACGTCTATCTTGGGCCCGTAGAACGCTCCTCCACCCTCGTCCACGGTGTAATCCCACCCCTTGTCTTGCAGCGCCTCCCTCAGCGCCTGGAGAAATCATTTTGAGGGACGAACACAAGCAGTGTGTAGCCACATTTGCACACACTCACACCCTCGTCCACGGTGTAATCCCACCCCTTGTCTTGCAGCGCCTCCCTCAGCGCCTGGTGAAATGATTCAGAGGGAAGGACACGACACAAGCAGTGTGTAAACACATAGGCACTGACATATGAACACACTCCCACCCTCAACCACGCTCAACTCCCGTCCCTAGTATGCAGGGCCTACCTCAATGCCTGTTATAGCCATTCAGAGGGAAGAACACAAGCGATGTGTAAGCACACACACACATATATCTATCAAATGGACCTCTCTGGCCACGTGGACAGCAGAATATCCAGCTGCTGGAAACCAGAGAGCACACCCGCGAACACATGCACTTCCACAAGCTGCCCTCCTCCATTCGTACCATCCCGTCTCCCTACCTGCCAACCCCTCTCCCCCCACCCCCCGCACACAACACCTGAGTGGCCTGCTCCCAAAGAACATCATCCTTAACCATGTTTTCGGGCCGTGTGGAGAGGCTGATATCCAGCTGCTGGGAGCCAATCAAACCTGCAAAGACATGCCTCTCCAAGTGCCTCCCATACCCTCCTACCTGCGTGGCCTGCTCCCAAATGGCGTCATCCCCGACGGATTTCTCCGGGCGGGTGGAGAGGTTGATCTCGAGCTGCTGGAAGCCAAAGAGCACACCCGTGTGCCTTTGCCTGTGCCTGCCCCAACCTACCTGCGTGGCCTGCTCCCAGACTCCCTGACAGACTTCTCTGGCCGAGTTGAGAGGTTGATCTCGAGCTGCTGGAAGCTAAGAGACGTGGGAACACATGCCTCTCCACGTGCCTCCCCTCCCACCCTCCCAGCCTCCCCCCTTCACATGTGCAGCCTGCTGTAACCCCCTTACCTGTGTGGCCTGCTCCCAAATGGCGTCATCCCCGACAGACTTCTCCGGGCGGGTGGAGAGGTTGATTTCCAGCTGCTGGAAGCCAAAGAGCACACCCCTTGTGCCTGCCCTCCCTTACCCGAGTGGCCTGCCTGCTGTCGTAAGCCCCGTACCTGAGTGGCCTGCTCCCAGATGGCATCATCCCCAACAGATTTCTCCGGGCGTGTGGAGAGGTTGATTTCCAGCTGCTGGAAGCCAAAGTCCGTCAGCATGGCCTCTGTGAGGTCCAGCACCCCACGGATCTCGTCCCTGATTTGGGAGGGCAGACAGAAGATGTGTGCGTCGTCCTGTGAATGGGGGGGGAGAGCGGGGTGGGGGGGTTGGGGAATGGGTGGGGGAGGAGTGGGATGGCGAGGGAGGGCTGAGTGTCAGCATTGCCTCTGTGAGGTCCAGCACGCCGCGGATCTCGTCCCTGATCTGAGTTGGCAGACAGAAGATGTGCGCGTCGTCCTGTGTGCGAGGAACGAGGAAGGCAGGGGCTGGGAGCCAGGGGGGGAAGAGGCGGGGGATGGCGTGGGTGTGGGTGTGTCAGCATCGCCTCTGTGAGGTCCAGCACACCGCGCATCTCGTCCCGATTTTGAGAGGGCAGGCATAAGATATATGTGTCGTCCTGTGTGGGTGGGTGGGTGGGTGGGTGAGGCATGTCACGTGGGATGGACGGGCGGGAATGGCTACTCTCTGTGCTGAAAGTGGCTCCCAAGGCACGAATACTCAGCAGGTGGAAGCGGCCCAAAGCAGAGAGTGCACCCGGGGTAATCCCACTTGAATGATCACCTGAATGACTGCAGCAATGTTACCCGTGAGAATCTTCAAAAGCTACCCCCCAGCGCCACCTTCCCCCCCCTTTACGCCACCCACCCCCTAGCGACACGCCAAGGCAGTGAGGCCCACCTGGGTGAATCCACGCACGCGGAAGAGCCCGTGCATCGTGCCCGAACGCTCATAGCGGTACACTGTGCCCAACTCCGCCCACCTGTGGGGGGGGTGTGGGAGGGTGTTGGGGGGAGGAATAAGAACGAGAGAGGTGTGGGAGAAACAGAAGAAGAGCCCGTGCATTGTGCCCGAACGCTCATAGCGGTACACTGTGCCCAACTCCGCCCACCTGAGCGCATGGGATGTGGGGGTGTGGGAAGGGGGAAGAGGACAAGAAGGGGAGGATGGGCCTTGAGCCTGGGCAGCAGCGCTGATAACAGTACACCGTGCCCAGCTCCGCCCACCTGCGTGGGGTGATGGGTGGTGTGAGGATGAGATGTGGGGTGTGGGGTTGAGAGGAGGAGAGGGTGAGATGGGGCATGGCATGGCATGGCGTGGCACCCACCTGATGGGGAGGCACCCACCTGATGTGGAGGCACCCACCTGATGGGCAGGTCACGGTAGTAGTGCAAGGAGTCGTTGTAGAGCATGATGTGGAAGGGGCAGTTCATGGGGCGGTCGCACCTGATAGAGAGGTGGCACTTACCTGATGGGGAGGTGGCACCTGATGAGGAGGTGGCACCTGATGAGGAGGTCAGGTTCGGTACGCACCTTATAGGCAGGTCGCGGTAGGAGTGCAGCGAGTCGTTGTAGAGCATGATGTGGAAGGGGCAGTTCATGGGGCGGATCTGATAATGCTCCTCCTCCACCTCCATCTGATGGGAATGGAGGGGGGAAAGGGGAGGGGCCGATGGAGGGAGGGGTTGGGGGAAAGGAGGCAGGAGGGAGGGATGTGGAAGGGACAGTTCATGGGGAGGATCTGGTAGTGCTCCTCCTCCACCTCCATCTGATGGGGTGTGTGTGTGGGGAGGGAGGGGAGTGGGGATGTGAGGGGAGCGGGAGAGGGAAAGGGAACAGCAAGCGGGCATATGAGTGAATGTGTGAACATGCACAATATTTAGTGCGTTTACGCCCAAATCACGTGACACTTTCACACTCAGTCAATGCCAGCCAACGCTGGTCAACGCCGGTCTCACCTGGTCAAACATGTTTTCCCGGTAGAACTCGTAGTGCCCGCTGGTCTTCCAGAGGTCCAGCTTGGCCATGTGCGGCGTGTACAGCAGCTCGTACCCCCGCCTCAGATGCTCCTGCCTCCAGTGCTCCTCTATCATCGCCCTCACTCTCGCCCCCCTCGGGTGCCAGAACACCAACCCTCCACCCGCGTCCTCCTGTTACAAAAGGCGAGTGAAACAGTGCAGAAACGGGGGTTGTCAGTAAAGCTGAAACGGGGGTTGTCAGTACAGCTGGCACAGCAGCTCGCCTCATACTCTCCCCTCAGATGCTCCTTCCTCCAGTGCCCCCCTCGGGTGCCAGAACACCAATCCTCCCCCTGCGTCCTCCAGTAAATAGGGAATATTACAGTGGGGTGGGGAGACAGGGAATGTTACAGTGGGGTGGGGAGACAGGGAATGTTACAGTGGGGTGGGGAAACAGGGAATGATACAGTGGGGTGGGGAAACAGGGAATGATACAGTGGGGTGGGGAAACAGGGAATGATACAGTGGGGTGGGGAAACAGGGAATGATACAGTGGGGTGGGGAAACAGGGAATGTTACAGTGGGGTGGGGAAACAGGGAATGTTACAGTGGGGTGGGGAAGCAGGGAATGTTACAGTGGGGTGGGGAAACAGGGAATGTTACAGTGGGGTGGGGAAACAGGGAATGTTACAGTGGGGTGGGGAAATAGGGAATGTTACAAGGGAGGCTACAGCAGCTCGTACCCCCGCCTCAGGTGCTCCTTCCTCCAGTGCTCCAGTCAACTCAAAACACGCCTGTGGGGAAGCCTTGCCCAACCTCCGGTGGTCCCTCCGTTTCGCCTCCTCCACCTGCTGCCGGTACTGCAGCAGCTGCGCCTCGCTCTCCCAATTCAATGCCCCAAGGCGTCAGCCTTAAAGGACCCACCCAGAAAGTCACAGCACTCTACCTGAATGGAGAACAGCCCGAGCTCTTTCCCCAATCGGCGGTGGTCCCTGCGCTGGCCTCCTCCACCTGCTGCCGGTACTGTAGCAGCTGCGCCTCGCTCTCCCCACTTCAATACCCCAGACCAGAGCATGAAAGGACCCACCCACACACACACAGCAGCAGCAGCAGCTCACCTGAATGGAGAACAGCCCCAGCTCCTTCCCCAGCCGGCGGTGGTCTCGCCGCTTGGCCTCCTCCACCTGCTGCCGGTACTGCAGCAGCTGCGCCTCGCTCTCCCACGCCGTGCCGTAGATGCGCTGCAGCATGGCCCTCGTCTCATCCCCCCGCCAGTACGCCCCTGCCACTGACTGCAGCTCTATCGCCCTGCGGGGGAGCTTGCCCGTGCTTTCAACGTGAGGCCCGGCGCATAGATCCCACCACTCGTCCCCTGTGGTGGAGAAGGGTTGGGATGGGAAATGGAGGGGCGTTGGGATCATCCCCCCGCCAATACGCCCCTGCCACTGACTGCAGCTTGATCGCCCTGCGCGGCAGTTTCCCTGTGCTCTCCACGTGAGGCCCGGCGCATAGATCCCACCACTCGTCCCCTGTGGTGGAGAAGGGGGAAGTGGAGGAGGGGGGGGGGGGGGGGAGGAGGAGGAGGGGAGAGGCTGTTCCCAGGCTCAAAACGGCAGCTCAAAGCCCAGGGACGCACGCGCAGGTACCAGCAGCAACCGCTCATTACCCTCTCTGCTCGTCCCGTTCCCCCCCCAGTACGCCCCTGCCACCGACTGCAGCTCGATCGCCCTGCAGGGCAGCGGCGCTTCGCGTGCTCGCTCCCCAGCTCCAGCCCGTATGTCAATGTGCACATACATACATCCATGTGCCGTATGTCAATGTGCACATACATACATTCATGTGCCGTATGTCAATGTGCACATACATACATCCATGTGCCCGCATGTCAATGTGCACATACATACATCCATGTGCCCGTATGTCAATGTGCACATACATCCATGTGCCCGTATGTCAATGTGCACATACATCCATCCATGTGCCCGTATGTCAATGTGCACATACATCCATGTGCCCATCGAACCAACCACGTGCACATGGTCCCACGTGCATATCTCACTGTCAGGCGAGGTAGCTTAATCCTAAACGTACCAATGTGGTAGATGGTGATGGGCTCGGTTGGTCCTGTCCTCATGCTGTCCAGCAGTTCCAGCTTGTACGGCTCGTTGATCTCCCTGATGCGCCCACGTGCCCACCCCATTTCCCATGTTTGAGGCGCCTCAACAATACAACCCAGCACCTTAAATTCCTAACGTACCGATGTGGTAGATGGTAATCGGCTCAGTCTTGATGCTGTCCAGCAGCTCCAGCTTGTACGGCTCGTTGATCTCCTTGATGCGCCGCGCTGCCTCCTCCCGTGACACCTCCTCGCGGCGCAAGGGAAGGTTCTTGAAGATGATCTTGTCCTGAGGGTGGGTGGGGGCGGCAGGGGGGAGGGGGATAAGAACGGAAAAACAAAGATGCATCCGCCTCAAATCCGAAGGAGGGCTGCCTTCTCCCGTGACACCTCCTCGCGGCGCAAGGGAAGGTTCTTGAATATGATCTTTTCCTGAGGGTGGGTGGGAGGGGGCAAGAGGGGGGGAGGGATGGGGGAGGAAGATACAGAGGCGCATTAGCCTATAACCGATGCGCTGCCTCCTCCCGTGACACCTCCTCGCGGCGCAAGGGAAGGTTCTTGAATATGATCTTGTCCTGAGGGTGGGTGGGAGGAAGAAAAGAAGAAGAAAACAAACTCAAGAAAAAAGAGTAAGATATTGTTTAAAACAAGTCAGTGTCGTGCAGACATAGAAAGGTTGACCTCAAATCAGTCGCACGCATCCTTTATTCTACTCATTCACACCCTCTACTCGTTGAAGTCATACCCACTACTCGTTACAGTCACACGCACCATCTCCTTCTTGATCTTCTTGAGGTCCTTGTCAGTGAGAGGTTCGTCGAGGTCAAAGTCGTAATAGAAGCCGTTCTGAATCCACGGCCCGATCGTCACCTGCGCCTTGGGGAACAGGCGCTGCACCGCCATCGCCATCACATGGGCGGACTGGGTTGGGGGAAAAGAGGGAAGGGGGAAGAGGGAAGAGGGAAGGGGAAGGGGAAGGGGAGGGGGGAAGGGGGAAAGGGGAAGGGATGAGTCGACTTCTGAATCCACGGCCCGATTGTCACCTGCACCTTGGGGAACAGCTGCTGTACTGCCATCGCCATCACATGGGCGGACTAGGGGGAGGGGAGCGGAGGGGGGAGGGAAAGGGGGAGGAGGGGAAGAGGGGAGGGAAGGAGGAAGAACTGAGTCGGTTCTTGGGGAGACTCAAAAGTCACCTGCGCCTTGGGAAACAGCCACTGCACCGCCATCGCCCCACGAGCCACTCCCTACAAGCACAATCCCCCCAAGCACCACTCCCCTCATGCTTCACGTTGTGCCTCACCCAAAACGCTCGGTTCGCCCCACGCGCCACTCACCGTGTGTCTGATCCGCAGCAGCTTCTCCGAGCTCTCATTGGTCGGAAGCGGCTCACGTGGCAGCTCCACCTCCACAGCATCCTCCCCCGCGCTCTCCCCTTCAGAACCATCAGCCGCGCCAGACGCTGCGCCATTACCCCCCTTCCGCGCACCCTTCTTCCCGCCTCTCGCTTTAGCAACCCCCTCTGCGGTCACACCGCCGCCAGCGCCGCCAGCGCTAACGCTCTCCGCCTCGTCCGCAGCGACAGCTACTGCCGGCGCGCCGTCGGACCCATCCGCGGCTGCGGAGGCCGCGGTGACTCTCCGCACCCGCGCTGCCCCGTACGGCGGAGACGCGGGGGAGGGGAAACGGCGCGCGGAGGCGGATAAAGCGGAAGGAGAGTCACGGGAGAGGAGCGGAGGCGGGTGCAGGGGGAGGCGGGTGGTGGATAAGGGAAGGACGGAGGCTGGAAGGGGGAGCCTGGTGGGAAGGGAATGAGGACAGACAGGGGATTAACAGGGGAAGGAGAGGGGTTGGAGAAAGGCGAATTATTACCAGGAGTAGGTAGGTTGCGACATGTGCATTGCATTGTCAAAGCACGGCAAAAAAAAACAGTTTTAAGTTGGAAAGGAACCTCAGGAAGAGCTTCAATACGCTCCAGATGAACAAAGCAGTCCCCGCTAAAATGCTGCGACTCGCGTTCACTAACCGGCCAATAAGAGACGGTCGTCGAGCATTTGTCTAACTACCTCTCGTGGCGGTCGCAAAACGTTGCGAATCCGAGCGACGTGAATTCTAAGGAGCGACTGAGGACTGCACGAGCGAGAGGCCTCGAACGGGCTATCAACGCGGGGAGATGGACTTCACCGTTACCTTTGCGTGAACCCTAAAAAGGAGGCACGCCAAGACAAGGAAATGGACGAGCGCTAACCTGAATTGCCAAGGAAACAGGAGCTAAATGGTTTAACTATGTCCCCGTTTATACTGATATCTTCTTACGATTGCCATACTAAGCGTCCAGATCATTGTTGCTGACTTGCCTGCCGATGTGGCTGCTGGAAAGCCGAGCAACTCCACCAATCGCGGTCCGGAATTGCCGTGCTGACACGTGTAACGCGGATCGGAACATCCTGGTTTCCGCGGGAAGACCGGGAACAGCAGCCGATGCAGCTGACACCGCGGAGAGCGGGGACTCGAGCATGGCCCGCGTGTCGAGTCGCAACGGGCACTTGAGGTCGACAAGAAAAAGCCTCCCAAACCACTATTGAAGTGGAGTATTGATTACAACTGACTGAAAGTAGTGGTGAGGGGGAAGGAGATGCGAGAGAGGCGGTGGATCACCTTGGGATCATCTTTGGTATCCTGGCCCCTGGGTTCATCTCGAGTTTGTTCCAGCTTGGCAACCTTGGGTTCCCCCAGGTTGGCAATCAGCCATGACGTGGCTTTGCTAGAGTTGGCTGCTGCTCAAATATACTCGTCAATAGAAAGGTGATCTGTCCGGCTTTTGTCAATTATTGTACACCAGAGAGAATATCTCAAAGATTTCACAGTACGGTAACAGGGAGCAGATTACCCCAAACTTGTAAAAAAGTTGCATTAAAGACTTAGCCAACCTACTACACCATAGATAACCTGCCAGCCTATGGTTGGCAAAGAACCCTACTAAAGCCTCAAGGCGTACCAGCATGCTAAGGTACCACGGCTATAGTTTGATAAGAACACCAACAAGCTACGGTAGATTTCGTGACCTGCTAGCTTCTACCAGTCTGTACAATCCCTGCAACTCCAATCCCACTCACACTCCCTATACCTGTTCTGTTAAAACTGCTCATTGCTTGCAGCTTTTCTCCTTAGCAATCTCTTCCGCAATTAGCCTCTCCTTAGTTGACGGTATCCGTGCTGCTTCAGTCTTAGCTGATGTGATTAGGTTATGTAACCGGGACGCCACAGAACCAGCCTTCTTAGCAACCTCTGAAACCATGGTCGTTGTCTCCTCACCTTGCTCCAGAAGGGACTGCATACGCAATCGAATCGCGCTCGTAGCTGGCATGATATACAGAAAAGCATTAGCGCATTAGAAGCTGAAACGTGATTCTGAAGAGCAAGAACAATGAAGAAAAAAAAAACGGTCAGAATGACAAAAATACCTTGTGTACATTTCGCAGCTGCAGCACCATACGGTTTCCTTAACTTCTGTGACTTCTTCAATCGCTCTAGCTTAACTCCCAGCTTATTTCGGACCTTCTCCAGAACCTTCGTCCGTCGCTGCTTTACTAATACAGCCAGCTCCTTTATTTCCGACTCAAGAGCCTCCGCCTGCGCCTTGGATAACGCTGCGTACAACCACAAACCAGCACAGAGTGAATCAGAGTTAGTACAATTCATCCATGATAAGGGACTAAACTGTTCGCCTCCGCTACTAGCTTACCTAGAAGCTGGTTATCGTCGGGAGCCGGAAACGCTGTTTCCTGTAGACCTTGATCTTTCGTAACAGAAGCGACGGAGTCTATGGTAGAAGTTAGGCGGGACGAAAGCTGCTTCAGCTCGATCTGCGCTGCCTTAGGTATAACGTTCGAAGACTTATCTTGCTCGCCCGAAAGCTCCGCCGCATGCTGGCTGCACGTATCTCGACACCTCGTCGTCACTCTCTGAACTAGCTCTCGAAAGTCCTTGGGTCTTAACGAGTCCCCCATTTTTTAATTTGGCCAAGAAGATTCTCTGACGGAAAACAAACTACCGTATGTGAAATGTCGAGGCTCCACAAACAACCATGAAATAGTCACAAGCTAATGGCACCTCGATGCTTGATACCAGTAGTAGTCTTGCATGAGAACCAGTCAAGTCAACTGTCAAGACGGAATGGTTATTTTCTTCCCAGAATGGTTTTTTTTTTGTTTTTTTTTTTCTTTTTTTTGGTGGATATAAGTACACTACCAGCATACATACATCCGCAGTCGTAACTGTTGCTAGGAGGGCATGTAGAGGCTACAAGTACACAGGTAACCAGAGCCCCCCTTATCCTTTTACGGAGGTTGGAAAGCTACACCGCCATCTTCCCAGATCGCCTTAAAACCCGCTCTCCACGTCATCGAGGCCTCTGTCTCGTAGAGCCTGCGCATAGCACCTGCTTCGTCAGCATTCAGGTGGCTCCAGTCACCCGTCCTTTCCGAGGCATTTTTGCCAGCCGTTTTCTTCCGCGCTCTGCTGTAGATCTTCACGTGCCTCGTGAAGCCAACCGCTATGCGCCTCAATGCTCTCTTTGGTTGGAAACGGCTACCGCGGAAAACCGCGTTGCACCTCTCCAGCCAAACTTGATGCGCTGTTATGGATATGATTGCCGCCTTAGGAAAGCCTGTTGACGTGCCACTCCTTTGGAAGAGCATGTCACCGAGAGATCGCATGTCTCTGCCCGGATTCATACACTGAACCGCTTTCCTCATCACCCCCACCACAGGTTGGATCGTCGGGCAGCTGAAAAGGCAGTGATCCTGCGATTCCACTCCACCACAGTACGTGCATTTCGCCCTCGCGCCCAAGAAAGGGAGCCGTTCTCCCACCTGGAGGTTGTTACTGTGCACCCTCAGTATTACTTCCCGTGCCCTGCATGGGGTTGCCAGTGAGTCACGGACCATGATGGCCTTCCCCCAGCCGATCTTCCTCCCCAGCTCCTCTTCCCACTTGAGCTGCTGTTTCGGTTGCGTCACCGAGGGTTTCATCGCCTTCCTCAGCTTCTTTAGATCAGCTCGCTCGCCTTTCTCACAGATTGTGGAAAAAAGCAGTCGCGTTCTTGGAGCGCCGAGTAAGCCGCGGGCCCTCCCGTCTATGACTGCCATGGGTGAAACGCGCCGAAAGTCCACCGTTCCCACGCTAGCATATTCCACCTCACCTATGTTCCCTTTCTTGTCCACCGTCACTCTTCGACCATATAGTTCGCCGTTGCTCACATACTGCAGCTGGTAGTAAAAGAACACTCCTGGCCGGTAAGACGCAGAGCGGACCAGCCTTGTTTCCCTGAAAAAATCCTCCGCAGACAGTTGGTTGAGTACCAGATCCTTCCACCTCTGCGGCGCCGCCTCCCACGCCTTCAGGGCCCATTTCCTCTGCTCCTCACCTCCCAGTTCCCTCTCCAGAACCTCCTCACTCTTACGAGATCTGCTGCCATCCCCTCCTTTCGCCACCAAATCCCCCAGTCGAATGCCCTTCAGGCAAAGCGAACCCGCCTGGTTTCCAAAAGGTGATCTGCCTCTGAAGAAAATATTGCGATTGAAGAGTAGCTGCTCCTCCTCCGCGTCCCACCTGTGTGCCGGGTCGCCTATGGTCACCAGTTTTGAGTCCCACAACGCTTTAATAGTGGCTTTCCATCTCGTTCCTCCCCCCAGCCAGGACTTCAGGACCGAAGGGTGCGCGTAGATTGTGGCCAAGCCGAGGGGAAAAGCCGCCGCTCTCTCCCATAACCAATTCCGAAGTGGCTCCTGCTCCGCCAGGGCCTTCCCCAATCCTTGAATCACCATGCTGTCAATCCGGTGCTTCAGATCAATCACACCCAGGCCTCCCTCTTTCCGTCCTCTGCACGACAGTTCGTAGCTCCACAGCGTGAAGTGCCTGTCGAGGAGCGCCTTCCCTCCCGAGATGAAATTGTGACAAAGCCTCTTCACTTTAGTCCAGACCTCGTATGGTGGGGCGTAGATCTGCGCCTGGGAGAGCAGGATCGGCATCGCATAACTGTTAATGATTGTAACCCGTGCCGAGGTTTTGAGATGTTTAGTCTCCCAGCAACTCAACACCGCGCTAACTTTTTCAAAAGCCTTGTCCCATGCAGGTCCCGGTGAGCCTCCAGAGGTGATCCAGATTCCGAGCAACCTTTCAGACGTGTTCTCATCCGCCCACTTGAAAGACGACGCTATCGGCTGCAGCCTCCTTCGATTTTTTCCCAGCGGCATTAGTGTGGTCTTATCGCGGTTCACCTTCAACCCTAAGATCTCCGCGAACTCCCCCAGTAGTTTCTCAGCAACCGCCACCTGCTCCTTGCCCTTCAGTACCAGTGTCGTGTCGTCTGCATACCCAATGTAGTCTAGGCTCCCTTGCACACCTCTCTTCCTGACCCCCAGTTTCCTCCGTTCTATTTCTTGACAGAGTGGCTCAACCGCGCAGAGGAAGAGATATGGGGCAAGCGGACAGCCTTGACGTACCCCTTTGGCCATCTCCACCCGTTCTCCAATCCAGCCATTCAACAGCACCTTCGTCGCCGCTCCGTCGTGAAGACCCTTCACCCATCTTGTGAACTTCCCGGGGAAGCCCATGTTGTCCAGCGTCGTGAAGAGGTATTCCCGTGATACCGAATCGTAAGCTTTCTGAAAATCGACCAACAACAGCAACCAGTCCTCGTCCTCCTGCTCCGCAGCGTCGATCACATCCGCTACCAGAGAGACAGCGTCAGCGAGGCTCCTTCCCGGAAGAAAACCGAACTGATTGCTGGAGATCACTCTCGGTAAGACCACCTTGATACGATTCGCCAAAACCTTCGCCAGTAGTTTGTAGAAGAAGCTCAATAATGTAATCGGCCGGTAATTTCCCAAATCATCCCTGTCTCCTTTTTTGTGCAGAAGTATCGTAACCGCCGTCGTGAAGGACTCCGAAAGCACACCCGCTGATTCGAAAATCCTGACTTCCCTCATCACCGCCGGGCCCAACAGCTCCCAATTTCTTTCGAAAAAATCTTTCGGCAAGCCGTCCTGCCCCGGGGCCTTCCCCGCCGGCAAGCCTTTAAGCGCGGCCTTCACCTCCTGCTCCGACCATTCACTGTCCAGCTGTAAGCGATCACTCTCCTGCAGCGTCTTTCCCTCTTCAATCGGCCACGGCTCCACAGGATCGGACGACGGCGACAGCGCGTAGGCTTCTCGGAAATGTTCCGAGGCCGCTTGCAGCGCCTCGCTTGCACCCTTCCTCAGCACCCCTTTGAAAGTAAGTTCCGCTATCTCAGTTTTCGCCTTCCTGGACTTGACCAAGCCCGACAGGAAGCCTGATGGAGTCTCCCCCGCCAGCTCTTGCAGCAACCCCGTCAGAACTTGCAGCCGCTCTTTGTTACTGTCCTGGTAAAGCTTGAGAGCCGCTTCGTTTTTTATCAGGTCCTCGTACAGAGCCTGCGACGAAGGGTCTGACATCACCTTCCATCTGAGCTCTTCCACCTTCAGCTCCAAGTGCACCATGGTCGCCTTAACCCTTTTCCTCTCCTCCGCTACATGAGCTCTCATGCTTGCTCGCAGGTTCGTCACCAGCCTCTCCAGGCCCTGGTCCGGATAATTCGCTTGCGAGTCTAGTACCGCCGATATGATGTTCCTGACGCCTTCACCCCCAGCATGGGGTGCCTGAAGCCTCCACA